CAATGGCACAGTTCACAAACAACTGGTTTTACCAGATCGATACAGAACAAGTGTAATGAGATCACTACATGATGAATGTGGACATCTAGGAGTCGAGAAGACAACAGAACTCCTCAAAGACCGTTTCTATTGGCCACGCATGAATGCTGATGTGGACCAGTACATCAAAACATGTGGACGTTGTGTCTCTCGCAAAACTCTCCCACAACGGTCATCGCCACTCAGTCAAATCACTAGCAAAGGTCCTTTAGATCTAGTCTGTATTGACTTTCTTCAGATTGAACCAGATAACAAAGGAGTTGCTAATGTATTAGTAGTGACTGATCATTACACAAGGTACGCACAGGCATTCCCTACAAAAGACCAAAAGTCAGTCACAGTTGCAAAAGTATTATGGGAGAAGTACTTTGTGCATTACGGATTACCTGCCCGGATACACTCAGATCAAGGTCGAGACTTTGAAAGTCGCCTTATCAAAGAGCTCTTGTCTATGCTAGGTATCCGAAAATCACGTACCTCACCATATCATCCGCAAGGAGATGCTCAGCCAGAACGTTTCAACAGAACCTTGCTATCAATGCTTGGAACTCTTGAACATGTACAGAAACAAAACTGGAGTCAGCACATCAGCCAGTTAGTACATGCCTATAACTGCTCAAAGAATGAGTCTACTGGATATTCTCCATACTATCTAATGTTTGGACGTAATGCCAGATTACCCATTGACATTTGCTTTGGCGCTGTTCTTGAAGATGACGCGGAGATGACTCACCTGCAGTACGTCGACAAAGTGAGAAAAGAACTCAAACAAGCATACCATCTAGCTACCGAGAATGCAACAAAGAACCATTTGAGGAACAAGTCACGTTATGACCAAAGAGTAAGAGACCAACCTTTACAAGAGGGAGACAGAGTTCTGATAAGAAACGTTGGCCTTACTGGTAAACACAAACTGCAAGACCGATGGAAGTCAATACCTTACATTGTCATCACACAGCTGCCAAACCTACCTGTGTACAAGGTAAAACCGGAACAAGGATCTGGAGGTGTCAAAACTCTACACAGAGACCATCTGCTACCAATCGGTTATCTTGTCAGAATCGCAGATAACTCAGTTTCACCTGAAAGAGTAAGAACACCAGTTACTAGAAGACGTTATGCCAACAGACGTCAGATACGGGACCAAGAAGACCGATTATCTGATGTCTTGCCAGACACAGAATCTGAGAATGAGTATGTCTACCAGTACCCCACCATTTCCAGTGACCATATTCAGGGACATGAATTCAGGTCAGACAGACCTAACACAGAATCTCTTCACTCTGATAATTCCCCCTCATCTGAGAGTGAACCGGAATTGGAGGAAGGACCTTCTGAAAGTTCTCATGAAGAGGAATGTCAGCCATCAAATGTGGAAGGAGACACCAGTGATACGGCTGCAGACACCGAAGCGGAGTTGAGGACTCCTGCAAGACCTAAAACTCGAAAGTCAAAGCGAGAGGTGAAACCAGTAATCCGTTTGACCTATGACAAACCTGGAACGCAGTCTGAGGAACCTGTGACTATTGTACACCAAGGCATGGTTATACAGTTGAACCTCAGTAGCACCAGAGATAAAAACCATCAT